GAGAACGGAGATTGATATGAGCCCGATCTTCATGCACACGGGGGACTCTCCGAAAAGATTCCGACGCAAAAAGACAACGTGTCAACACCCTTGGGACGAAGTTTTCCGTCTTCCTGCCGATACTGAAGCCGTGCCGCTGCCGACGCCGTCCAACGGAGTCTCCCCACCTGTCTCACAAACTGTTTAACAACACAGTGTTCAGCGATTTTATCCACATCGCCACTGGTAGGCATAGCCATCAATTGCTTTTTTCTTGAATCGTCTCTCCGTGTCGTAAGGGCAAAGATCATCTCTGTTTGCCGGCTAGTAGAAGGAACGCTTCTCCCGTGACAGGAGGGTACAAAGATGCCTGTTTCGTGGAGATCGTCAAGTACAAGGATCGCCTTTTCTATATCTAACAAGTAAAAGCATTGCTTTTTTTTTCGGCTCCACCTCAATTCAATCACGATACAAGAAAAACTTGCGATGTTCTTTTTGTTGTTCGTCGCAGATGGCCCCGGGGCCACCTGCGACGAACAACAAAAGAAACATCGACGCTCAAAAAGTAAACTACAAGACAATATCGACACTCGAGACTTCCGAACAGCCGATTGTGTTCAGAAATATTTGTTTCGTAGTGTAAGTTTGTTTTATGCTAAAACTAGCTGTTACCCGCGACTTCGTCCGCGGAGGTTTTGCAAGCAAACCCCATTTACATTCAATATTTCAATAACCATAGTAATTGTTATAACACCTACCGCTGAAGAGAATTGCCGAGAATCAAACGAACTATTTTCAATTTGATCAATTTTCTGAAACGTTTACAATCGTTCTATAATCGAACCAATACGCAATAACAAATTCGAATTTAAAACGTTCGAACATTTTTAAAATTGAAATATATAAAAATATTTAAACAATGTCTGAAATGTGATCAATTTAATACACCTAAGTACTCGATGAAGACTAAACGTAGTTGAAAACAAAAAATCGCATCTAAAATAGTACAGTAGAAGCCATTCTTCCGGTTAAGCTTAATCCTCTCCCTCTCCCCCCGCGGGAGAATTTAGAAAAATCCCTTCTTAGTGTCCATTCTCATGGCATACCCTACTAAAACGCATACAATACGAATACGAAATAACAAATTCGAATTTAAAACGGTTCGAACATTTTTAAAATCGAAATGGATAAAAATATTTATAACAATGTCTGAAATGTTATTAATTTAATACACCTAAGTACTCGATGAAGACTATATTCTCTCCCTCACCCCCCGCGGGGGAATTTCGAAAAATCCCTTCTTAGTGTGCATTCTCATGGCATACCTTACTACAACGCAGATAAAAATAAAAAATCGCATCTAAAATAGTACAGTAGAAGCAGCTTTTCGGTTAAGCCTTAAATCTCTTCCTCTCCCATCCGCGGGGGAATTTCGAAAAATCCCTTCTTAGTGTGCGTTTTTATGACGTACCCTAACTGTGTACCAAATTTCACCTCTTTAGGTTTAGCGGTTTGCTCTGAGCGATGATGAATCACCCAGTCAGTCAGTCAGGACAAGTAATTTTATATATTTAGATAAATGGATTTTTTGTAAGGTACTTGTTATCTTGTCTCCTCCGCCACACCTACATGCGAACATTTCTAGATCATTTTGACGCGGGATTAACGATTTCCCCTAAAATTTGGCTAACTTACATTATAACATTATAGACCTGTTTATATATATAAAAAATATATACAGTAGTGGCCAAAAGTAGAGCTACCCTTGACATATTTTTAAAAATGTGATCTCTATTTCGTTTACCACCTACTAACTAACCAATACAGTATTGTGATATATATCTCTCCGTGTCGTAAGGGCAAAGATCATCTCTGTTTTCCGGCTAGTAGAAGGAACGCTTCTCCCGTGACAGGAGGGTACAAAGATGCCTGTTTCGTGGAGATCGTCAAGTACAAGGATCGCCTTTTCTATATCTAACAAGTAAAAGCATTGCTTTTTTTTTCGGCTCCACCTCAATTCAATCACGATACAAGAAAAACTTGCGATGTTCTTTTTGTTGTTCGTCGCAGATGGCCCCGGGGCCACCTGCGACGAACAACAAAAGAAACATCGACGCTCAAAAAGTAAACTACAAGACAATATCGACACTCGAGACTTCCGAACAGCCGATTGTGTTCAGAAATATTTGTTTCGTAGTGTAAGTTTGTTTTATGCTAAAACTAGCTGTTACCCGCGACTTCGTCCGCGGAGGTTTTGCAAGCAAACTTCATTTACATTCAATATTTCAATAACCATAGTAATTGTTATAACACCTACCGCTGAAGAGAATTGCCGAGAATCAAACGAACTATTTTCAATTTGATCAATTTTCTGAAACGTTTACAATCGTTCTATAATCGAACCAATATTCGAATTTTATGTTCGAATTTAATTCGAACAAATTCGAACAAAACATTCGAAATAGAAAGCCACTTTCAACCACTTTCGGCCCCATATCTCCCGCACCCTTATAGCTATCGAGACGCAACCCCCCTGGTGCGCGAATGGAGACTTGGGGCAACTACCACATACAAACACCATTCACGTGCGATGTGTAGTTTTGGCGAAAAAGTGAAATGTAGGGATATACATGTCCATTTTTATATTATATATATATATAACACCTTATCTTTGCCGAGAAATATATTTATTTCAAAAAAGAAACATTTTCAGCCTGATTTACTGGCCATCCTCAAGTTGCGAACGAAATTGGAATTAAAGCATTCCATTAATAGAATACAAAATTCAAATAAAAAATTAAATAAGCAACGGAATAACATAAAAAATAAAAAAATTATGTACATAGAAGTATTAAGAAATACAATTACTAACGCCTCTAATAAAATTACTATTTTAACTGGTTAGGGTTCTTAGTAAATTTTTTAACCATAAACTTCCATGCAGAGGGAAGATTTTCGGCACCTCTCGCATTCAAACAGCCTTCCTGTAGTTTACTCCTATACATCTGAATATTTTCAGCGGTCATCGCCAAAGATAGGGAAGATGAAGGTTTGATGATGGCTGCCTCATTCCATTTGACTACAGAGCCTTGTGTGCGCCATTTGAGACAAAATTGTTTCATTGGACTACTTTCTGATATTATAAATATGTTCCTTAAGTCTAACTTGTAAGTCCCAAACTCCTGGTGATTACTCTAATATAGTCTTTTTTAATATCCAATTGCATATTCTCATAAGGAATTCTATAAACTCCTGCTTTCTCTTCTGACTTTATACTACCTTCATCATTTCTGAGAATTTTGTATAAATTTGGGGCCCTCTTTATAAGCATTCTCGAACCTTTTCTGTCAGCAAACTCCTTCATAACGCTATTCATACTTTCATTATAGGTAAATTTCACGACTCCAGTGGGAACACTTTTAAATGACCTTTTCTTGGTGTTCATACTTCTTAACCATTCCTAGAATTACGCCTTTTCGGTAACCCAAGGTCTGTGCCACGTTCATTATTCTATCTATTTCTTTAATCCTATCTTGGATTTTGTCACAATACAAAAATGCCCTTCTTATTAAAGCTCTGAAAACCTCAATTTTATATTTATACGGATCATTGGATTGAGAGGGAATATACAATGGGCTGTGTGATGGTTCAATAAAAACGTTAGTGGATAATTCGCCTTTTCTGAACTCGATACTAATGTCTAGAAATCGCACATCCAAAAAACTCTTCTGTTCCAATCTTAAACTAAGGCCATCATTATATTATAATATACTTATGTTATGAAAAAAAATAACAGCAGGATTAATGACTTTTTGGTTAGAATCAATGATAATAATGATGGCCTTAGTCTAAGATTATAAAATATTATTGGATTGCAAGTCACGTTAGATTTTTCTAAAATGCAACATTTTCTTGGTTTTTTAAAGAAATTCTAAGATTGAACATGCTAATGACATGGCAGTCTGCAAATCATCGCGAAAACATTGTCTTACCTCGATGGGTATTATATAATTATTCGAGAATAAGGACTAAATGAGATTTTTGTGTTTTGCGTTAATTGTAACTAATATAAAGAATGGACAAGAATAAATTTGCTCGGTTTGTTAGTTTATAAAGTCAAACAACAACACATCATTGACTGCGAAATAAGATATAAATGAAGATCATTTTTAATGAGAAAAATAATGTGTCGTTTAGTATTCACGTTTTAAATAAATGTAACTGAAAACGAGCAATTGCTTATTGCGACAACGTCACAATGCGAGACTAAAAGTTTTAATTAATGTATTGTTTTAAAAAATCATGGAACTTCTGGTTAAGATCGGAACTTCGTATTTTGTTCCTGTCCATGTAGTTCATTCTAAACTAAAAGTTTTCTACATCTGCTTTTGATTTTCACTTATCTTTCTCCGTTATGGGCACCCGTACTTTGGGGACACCTGTGAGCGTGACCCTTTTGTCGTCGGGTTGCCATTTTCTTATTTCTTAAGCTTTCATTTTAGTTTTAAATTAATTACTCATTTTTATCACAGAAAAGTTTTACTAATGACAAAATTAAAATATTTGTCATTAACCGAAAATTTGTTCTAGCAGGTAATTGTCCGGTCGAGAACCGAGGTACCGCTGTATTTGATTAACCCGACTTTGATAAACGCAGTAGCATCGAGGGATTATATATATATATGTATGTATGTATGTATGTATGTATGTATGTGTGTGTGTGTGTGTGTGTGTGTGTGTGTATATATATATATCAATATGTACTGTACTTATTCCTCGATTCACGTAGTTAATTGTATATTTATATATAGGCTTATAAAGTATCTTCTTGCATAATGTACTGTACAGTACATGCGAAGCCTGTTCTTACTTTTTAACAGCTTGTGACCCCTTTATTCATGATCTCCGTTCTACATATTTACAAAAGACAAAAGACAGACAGTATAAATATAAAGATCTGCAATTTGAAAGTTACAACACAATTTTTAAATTTCGTCAGCATTTTCATTGAACAAAATGAATAAAAGTCAAGTTATTAAAATACTTTATTTAAGCAAATTCTGAATCATCAGAAATTTGAATACAATTCTACAATTTAAATCAACTCAGAATTTAAAGTATAAATTTATATAGCGATATAATTAACCTACACTAATTTGTTATACATCAAATAAGAAAATTAAAGATCATGTAAATGCAATTCTTCAATAAATTGACAACGAAGAAAAGTCGAAGAAATTCAGTTTTATTAACAACAATCAGGCGCAGTTTCCAGGCATTCCTAAAAGAAAAAAAAACATATATATATTTATTTATTTATCAAAAAATATATACAGGTAGATCAATGTAAACTAATTTAAACTTCATGTTTATTTATATTATATAAATGTAAATATTAACCACTATAATTACAGTATATATAATTAATTATATTAATATATATTTATATTTATTTTATATAATTAATTATACAAATAATATATCTCATGAATTTGCAACATTTGTGTGATTTAAATAACATCTTGACCGAAGAGAGTGATGGAAAAGGTTCAGTTCTTACATTTTAAATTATTTTAATAAAAGATAGGTGAAGTAGGAAGAGCGATCAAGTTTCAAACAACCCGAATTTTTATTTATTTATTTCATTTCTCGATGTTTTCACACTGCAGAAAACCAAGAGATGTAAAAGTATTTCTAACAAAATTTTGTCTGTAAATCTGGCTGTGTTGTGTCTGTCTAAATCTATTTGCATTTTATCTCAAGTATGAATAAACCAAGACTTTGGCGACTTAACAAGTTTATTTCTGTAATTGGGACATGAATGCTATTAAATTTTAGTAGATAAAAGGCAACGAGCACGGAGATAGATGTGGATCATGGCATTTTCAGTGAGGTCAGACTTAATGAGAGTTTACTTGTCACTAGAATTTACAGTTTATTTAGAAAGGCGCGCCTACCTTCAAAAATAAGTATTTTGTTTTTATTATAAGCAGGAAAAATATAAAAATTATTTTAGAATAAACTCTCTTACCAGATGGCGCAACACATAAATTTGTAAAGTATAAAATCAAACATGTGTAAATACAATAATCTAATCGTTTCTATTTATATAAAAACACAATTTAAGCATTACTGTACTAATTATATCCATTCTGTAAAAGTAAGGCAATTGTGGCATAACGTGGTCACCTGATAAGCCAGACAGTACTTATCTAAAATTTCAGGCATTTCTATGTCATGACATAATTTGAGTTACTTAATCATTCTGGATCCAGAATAAACGTCATTCGACACTTAAATTCTCAAGATAGTTTCCAGAGTGGATTGTTTAGTTGATTGGGTGAACTCTGATTAGCCTGCTATACACTTTTAGGCAAACTTCGGTGACGTGACTAGCAGCAGCATATGTTGAGAATGTCACGTGTCACGAACTTATTCACTGCATTTTCTCATCGTAACATTTGGCACTACGTGATATTCAGATTTCATTCATTAAGCAAAAAGATAAAAATAAATTATTGACTACGATTACTTATAATTTAAAACTTGTGCATTTAAATAAAACATTTAAAACAGATTGAAATATTAGAAAAGTGAAGAATTTTTCGAAAAATAGAAACAGAATGATCAGTTTTCAATATTAAAGCGGTTAAAGCTAAAAAATTAGTTTTCATTATAAAACAATGTTTTATTGAAAAAGTCATTGAAAAATAATCGAAAATATAGGCCTATACAATTAACTATAGATTCGTATCAAGATATTAAGAAGGAATTTTAAAAAATCACAAGAAAATGATTAATATATATTAAAGTTTAAAAATTCACACTGCAAAGTAGTGATAATAAAACATTAAAATTAGGTGTTAGAGTGAAAATTCACAAAACAGAAGATACACTTTTATATCCTTTTTTATAAGTTAAAACAGGATATAAAAGAATACTTTAAAAATATAATAGACTATATTCAAAATATTCAGTTAAAAATATTTAGCTGAAATTAAGCATTAGTTGAGTGAGCATTAGTTTGTAAGATTAATAAATGTAATTAATAAATGAAATAAACTTAAAAAGGAGAAAACTGATAGAATGGTAAGTTTAGATGTAAAAAACATATACCCGAGTATACATTGAATTTTTAAAATGTTTCGTTTAGAGAATTGGTTTATTGAAGTAATTAAATTAATAACAAGTAGTTTAGACAGAAAGATGGTTTCAGAATGTAATGAAACATGATTCCAAAACTTGTGAATATAGTGTTGATGAAATTGATGAATTATTAAACAAGATTAAAAGTATTAAATTATGTTTCAGCTATGCAGATGATTACTTAATTATGTACATTAACCTAAAAATTAGTAATAACGTAATAGTAAATATACCGAATAACACACATAATAATATACAATTTGAAATTAAAACTAAAGAAAATAATAATTTATATTATTTAGACATTACTATTGGCAATAATCAGACAAATTTTAATATTAGGAACGTATAAAACGTCTTGTAACATAAATAAAACAATTCATTTATATCCTGTTTTTCCGATTGAATTGAAAAAAAAGAACATATATGATGAACTAAAAAAGATATACATAGGAAATTTGAATTAAGAATTTGGAATTTTAAAAAGTTGATAACAAATCATTATTCTTAAATTAATTTTTCATAAAATAAAAGAAACAATATAAAACTGAAAATTTTAATTTAGAAACAAATGCACAAAAATGTATGTAGCAATAAGCATAGTAGCATTTTCTATATGCAGTTTCCAACATAGACCACCTGTCTACTCTCAAAAAACAACTAAATGCTTGTCCAGCGAGTCTTAGAAGCCAAATTGGTGTATTGTATTATGTATGAATGCACCGTAGCTAAAATTAGCCCAAAACAGCTACTCCTCCTCATTCTGACGTGCAAATAGCACTATTACATCAGGACTACGTAAATTAAATGTCCATGTGTCACTGAATACCTTTTGCTGCCAGTTTATCATAGGTAAATTGATTGTTGTGCTTTACTTTTGCCGCACAGAGACGTTTACAGCCCTTCTGCTCCTTCAAGAAATGTACTATTACCATATCTTAACGTCATTCCTAGATGTTAATTGCTTTGCTAAAGCGTTGGATGATACAATTTTTTTCAGAATTATTTGCTGGACTTTGTCAGAAATTATATGCGGGCTTAAGGTCTGCATATTAATCTCGAATGCGCATTTTTCTCTTAAACATACAGTATTTTATGTAAATAACTTTCTCGCAATGTTTAGGTTTTTTTTCTGCAATTTCAATCACAGATAAGTATCACTTAACAAACAGTGTGATCTTTGTCTTCTCATTTTCGATTAGTTTAGGCTCTTCTCCATATTTCTTAATGTTTGACTAAATAGCCTACATAAGCAGGGGAAAAACATTCTGCTATTTCAAAAATCTAGTAAACATGCGCGAATATTATTATTTAAGAACAGCCAATTTAGTACGCGTTATAAAAGTGGAATATTTAAAAAAAACTATACAGTGTTTGAACGTTTTGTTTCTAAATTAATATGTCAGTTATTTTACACGTTAATCATATTTCATTTAATTTCATCAAGAGTCATGTACATAACAATAAAATCAGTCATTATATCTTGTTATTCACAGATTAATGATTATAATAAAATAAATAAAGAATCAGATAAATTTGAAATTTTGAAATAAATTAAAGAATATCAATTGTTTCTGAATATTTCCGTCGCACTTTACAAACTAATTTCATAATATTAAATTAAGATGCTAATCACTTAAAAATGTCTTGATTAATATAGAATAATTGATGGAATAATTATTCAAAATATCTTACATAAATACATTTAATCGCCTTGTACTTACTTGGATTCTCGAATAAACATTACAATCCGCGAAACTCTGAGTATATGTAGCATTAGCATAACACTGGATAAAATCGTCGTAGTCCTATTAATAGAAATATCATCACTTTATAAAATTAATAATAATTAATGCAAAGTTCAGAAACACGAATCAATTACTTGTCCATTTGTCTTTCGATTTTCACATATTAGATCGCAACATTTCTCTACAGTCTGGCAAAAACCTAAATGTTGTCGAACGCAATTTATGCCGAAATCTAGAATCTACATATTGAATTTTAATAAAATTATTGTTTACAAAGCTTATTTCATGATAAAACTTTTGCAAATATTTAAAAGCTTACAATTTTATCGCCATTTTCAATAAAGCAAAATCGAAAGTCTCTTTGATTGCGACAAGTCCATGCTAATTTAAAAAAATTAGAGAAATAAATATATTTTCGTTAAATTTAAATTATACTTCCATAGGCTTAATCGAAATATTGAAGAATAATTAATGAATAAAAGATGAAAATATCTACAGAAACCTGTTATGAATACTTACGACAATAAATATTAAGGGCATCCCTAAGATATTGATATGGATTTNATTTTAGTAGGTTGACGTCATTCAGCTGACAAATAAGCGCGTGTGCCATCTGGATATTTAGTCGCACGTGATATACATAGGAAATTTGAATTAAAAATAATAATAAATCATTATTCTTAAATTAATTTTTTTTAAATTTAAAGAAAAATATATATATTAATATATAAAAAAATAATAGATGTAATGTAAAATAACAAAAACAAACGTCTAAATCCAATACATAAAATATCTTTTCGAAAAATGATCTACTTTATAAAAGTTTAGTTCCATTATTTAAATAATAAAATTACGTATAATCCTAGTTTGTATTCCAAAAATATCATAGAATTATATGAAGAAACAGTGGTGTATAGACTGGAATCTACACGTGAAATCCTAGTTTTTACATTAGTAAAAGAGGTTATGTATTAAATATATAAATTAAAGAGCGTGAAGCGGCAGTCAGGCTGAAATACAATCAATCACTATACTACAAAACAATCGATAATAAATAATTGTGTAATCGATAGAAATGTGTTTAAAATATTACGTAAAGAAACATACATATAAACGTGAATTTAAATAACTCATACAAATTAAAAAACATTCTAAAAATGAAAATTTAATTTGATCAGAATGTACGCAAATGAATAATGTATGACGTAATGCAAAGCCTGATATTATAACAGTAATTAAAGAGAAAAATGAATGATGTAAAATTGTTCTAGTTTCTATACGGTTTAGTTAATTACATCTTTCTGCTATGGTCATACACCTGGCCACATTTTTTCGGTGAAAACTTGGCCGAACTGCTTTCGCGTATTCTTTTCTACACACCAAGAAACTAACAGACCAAATTTACTCGATTCAAAATAAAAGTGAAAAAAATGAAGATTCCGAGGACGATTTATACTGATTTTGATGTTCATCGTCAAACACTTACATGATCAGGTTTTACCTCAATCATCTTATTAAATCTCAATAGAAGACGTTGTACTTAGAATTAACAGAATTCAAATTGATTAAATCGTAAGTTTAATAATAATAAGGTTTTACACCTAACGATATATTTAAATACAATGAAAGGTGCAACCGAAAAATTTAAACTCAATCCACAATTTCTAATTAACTTAAAATATAAAAATTTCTCTGATTTATAATTTATTATTTAACTATTTTCAAGGTATGATCGGCGTGACACTAGAATCATTCTGAATGTTATGTCTTTTTTTCATAAAATAAAAGAAGCAATATAAAACTGAAAATTTTAATTTAGAAACAAATGCATAAAAAAGTATGCAGCAATAAGCATAGTCGCATTTTCTATATGCAGTTTCCAACATAGACCACCTGTTTACTCTCAAAAGACAACTAAATGCTTGTCCAGCGCGTCTTAGAAGTCATATTGGTGTATTATATTATGTATGAATTCATCGTAGCCAAAATTAGTCCAAAACAGCTATTCCGCATTCTGACGTGCAAATAGCACTATACCACGTATTACATCAGGACCACGTGAATTAATTGTCCATGTATCACTGAATACCTTTTGCCGCCAGTTTATCATAGGTAAATTGATTGTTGTGCTTTACTTTTGCCGCACAGAGACGTTTACAGTCCTTCTGCTCTTTTAAGAAATGTATTGCCATAGCTTAACGTCATTCCTAGATGTTAACTGCTTTGCTAAAGCATTGGATGATACAATTTCTTTTAGAATAATTTGCTTTCCTTTGTCAGAAATTACACGTGGGCTTAAGGTTTGCATATTAATGTCAAATGCGCATTTTTTTCTTAAATATATTTTATGTAAATAACTTTTTCGCAATGTTCAGGTTTTTTTCTGCAATTTCGTGCAATAAAAATAAAATCAGTCATTATATCTTGTTATTCACACATTAATGATTATAATATAATAAATAAAGAAACAGATAAATTTGAAATTTTGAAGTAAATTAAAGAATATCAATTGTTTCTGAATATTTCCGTCGCACTTTACAAACTAATTTCATAATATTAAATTAAGATGCTAATCACTTAAAAATGTCTTGATTAATATAGAATAATTGATGGAATAATTATTCAAAATATCTTACATAAATACATTTAATCGCCTTGTACTTACTTGGATTCTCGAATAAACATTACAATCCGCGAAACTCTGAGTATATGTAGCATTAGCATAACACTGGATAAAATCGTCGTAGTCCTATTAATAGAAATATCATCAATTTATAAACTTAATAATAATTAATGCAAAGTTCAGAAACACGAATCAATTACTTGTCCATTTGTCTGTCGATTTTCACATATTATTTCGGCACATTTCTCTACAGTCTGGCAAAAACCTAAATGTTGTCGAGCACAATTTATAGCGAAATCCACACTCTACATATTGAATTTTAATAAAATTATTGTTTAGAAAGCTTATTTCACGATAAAACTTTTGTAAATGTTTAAAAGCTTACAAGAATATCGCCATTTTCAATCAAGCAAAATCGAAAGTCTCTTTGATTGCGACAAGTCCATGCTAATTAAAAAAAATTAGAGAAATAAATATATTTTCGTTAAATTTAAATTATACTTCCATAGGCTTAATCGAAATATTGAAGAATAATTAATGAGTAACAGATGAAAATACCTACAGAAACCTGTTATGAATACTTACGACAATAAATATTAAGGGCATCCCTAAGAAATTGATATTGATCTGCAGGTCTAAATACCGAAGCGTCCATAGAATTAATTGGAGAAAGAATGATACCAAACACGAACAACACTACTATAAGCTTCATATTCACTGATGTTTTCATTTCGTCTGGCAGGTTTCTGTAAGAATACATTTTATTACATGGCAATAAGCTTCTTCCGATATCTTACCAGGAAAATTACAATTTCAAATTACCTAAAAGATAACAAATGTTTAATCTTGGAAAGAGGAATTGCTTATCATATGCATTTACGAAGTGAGAGATCTTTATTTCTGAAGGAGCCTGTGCTTTTAGTGATTGATTTCAATTTATCGGAGTTTCTCTATTATACTTTTATGCCGAACATGATTAAAATATTTTATCTAGATTTTCATATATATTATTAGCTTTTAAATATAATTTAAATTTAATTAATTTATATTTTTAAATTTTTGATTGCTTGGAGACTAAAAGAAAAAAAGCTAGTGTGAGATCTGAACGTTCAAGGGAAGATAATTTTAATCNTGACATAATAATTATAAATTTATACGTAATGTAAAATATTTTTTCACTTAATATTTATATTCAAATTATCTCTAACTCAGGTTGACTATCTGTAATCTGGTTCCATTACTAATTGTACACTAATTTCGGCTAGCGGAATGTGAGATCTAAAGATTCTGGGAAGGATCATTTTAATTAAAATAATAATTTGGAGAAAAGAATTAAAATAACAGAAAATAATATTTTAAACTCCAACAAGATTTTATCTAAAAACGGAGGAAACATCAGATTTTTTAAAAGAAGTTGATTTCCTTTCCCAGACTAACTCAATGATGAATCGAGTTTTTGCACACGTTTCGGAAAACCAAATAAAAGGGACATTTTCCCGCCACTCGAGGCAGTCCATCTAGATTTTCATATATATTATTAGCTTTTAAATATAATTTAAATTTATTTAATTTATATTTTTAAATTTTTGGTTGTTTAAAGACTATCTAAAAGAAAAAAGCTAGCAAGAGCTCTTGCACGAATTTCCAAGGTCCTGATAATTTTTAAGCACGTGTGTAGCGCTATCAATTAAGAGATTTCATTCAGCAAAAATTTATGTTATTATTATTAATAATTGAAGGTGAAAAATATATTTATCGTAAGAATGAGTTTGAAAAAATGTCATTAAAATATAATTCCTATCCAGAAACTTAATCCTACCGAAAATTACAAATGCTAATAACGAGTAAAATTTAAATTAAATTTGATCTCACTCTATATAGAACAAAACACCTGTTCTATTTCTTTATCCTTGATCTCGTGACTATCAAAGTTTTATAACATGAATACCTCACGTATGGAAATATTCTTGCCACGTTACAAAATGTTTCGTTTATACAGTCCTATATTTAAGATTTGTATTTGTATAAACATTTTCTTTGAAAAAATGGCATTATTAAAATTAAGAAATTCGAATACATTATTGAATTCATCAAATTATTTTATTATTTAATATTTTTTAATGTGTAAAAAACTACAAGAAAAAATGTTGTCGATTCTAAACAGTAACTCGGGAAATAACGTGTTAAACAGTTATAAAACAAAACACGGCATAAAATTATAATTAATATTTAAATTTCGTTAATTTACTTGAAGCCAGCTTTAAAGCTTTATATAATAGATGAAGTCAGTTTATAACCAACGTCGTCTTTTATAAAAAAATCGTATTACAATTAACAACCAAAAAGTAAACATTTTCTTGTGTTTAAGGTTTCTATGAATAAAAGTAAATAATTACTTTTTAAATAGATGATAAAATATATTCTTTCTTCATGCATATTGTTATGGTGAAGAAAGATAAAACAGAAAACTTACCTTGTTATAAGCGATTAAAATATGCTGGACGTTAGGTTTTATAACGTAATGTTCTAATTCGTCGTTGCAGTAAAGGCGTAGAAAATTTAAATAGAGGTCTGTTCGAAGTTCCCTTATATACCCTTTCCTATGGAAACACCAGCTGCGCTTATTTTCAACACGTAGCATACAACATCAACTTCATTTTCTGATTATTTATTTTATTTTTAAATGTCTAACATTTTAATTTTTAAATAATTATTTAAAAATTCTGTGACTTTTCTCCAAAAATCTACTTTAGAAATTAATAAAATTTAATGTGAAATTTGAGTTTAAATTCATTTAAACTAAACTTTAATTTGGTTTATTAAATTAATCCCAAACCAATATAAAAAGATTAACAAGTCATACTATTGTGAAGATAATTCGAAAACGTTTTAGATAATTAAATGCTTGAAAGCGTAATTTATATTATACAAGATTTATCGTGTACCATAATTTAATCATCATTGAATTATAAAATTATTTTTAACTTTTTATGTCTTCATTTTGCAAAGTTAAGGGTCGAATTATACTTAACTGACGTAACTTAAATGTTTAATTCTCAATAAAAGTAACTTTTCTTGTTATTACAAAGTTAACTTTTATAAATCATTTTTTATTATATGAATACATAAAACTTTTAAAAATGCATTTCTTTGATGTTACAATACTCTATATCAGTGATTCTCAAACTTTTTCGATCCACCGCCCACTTTGTTCCATAAAGTTATACCCAACGCCCCCTAACCCATTTTCTCTTGTGTGAGAAAAGGATTGGAAATATTCTTAGGAAAACTTTTCTATGAATCTCACACTTTGTGCCCTTACTGTACATT